AGAAGAGAATGCAGAAATTGTAAATTGGAACGAGGTTCACAAATTTATATATGCAAAACAATTGTTACGTGGTGCTGCTAAACTTTTTGTAGCCAAACCGGGTTGCGTGATTGGAATTCCCTGAAATCGGCTCTCAATAAAGAGTTTGGTAATAAGTTGTCGCCAGCCGACGTGCATAAAATGTTGGGAAAAAGACAGAAGAGGCCAGCGGCAGATAGGCAAATATGTTCGTTTGGATCATGAAAATTTATTGGAATATTTTATAGACGGTATTCCTGGTACTAAATTTAGTAAGGCTGTACTTTATCAGGCAAAAACCATAAGCGAGCTTAAAGAGCAAATAGTCATTTACGAAAAGATTAGGCAGGAATCGAGGGTGGATAATCCAAAGAAAGTTGAAGTATACAATAAGACCAAACAAGAAAATACCAATTCTTCGTTGCCAGCGAAAATCGAAAAGAGGTGCTATAAATGTGGGGAATTTTCACATTTAGCGAAAGATTGCAAGCACAAACAATTCAAGTGCTTTAAGTGCCAAAAAATTGGACATAGGTCTTTCGAATGTAAAGAGCAACAGGGTGCCAGCGCAAAGCGTGAACAGGGTCACGTAAATACAATCGGCGAAGTCTCTAAAGCTAATTTAAAACTTAAAAAGATAAAAGTTAGCAATGTGGACGTATGGGCTCTAATCGATACGGGTTGTAGTTGGTGTCTTATGGGATGTGACACATTTAACAGGCTGGGCAAATCCATAAAGCTAGCCCCAGAACGACGGCAACTGTTTGGTATCGGTGCAGCCAAAATATAAACGATGGGTAGTTTTGAGATAAAGGTACTGATTGATAAAAGCGCTGTAAACTTGACGTTCCTTGTAGTAGAAGAGGGTGACGTTAGCTACGAGGTTATCCTTGGCACTTCCATTTTTAAACATTTCTACATGATGGTCTGCGAGGATGGCGTTGAATTCAAAGAAAGAGTTGTTCCGCCGAGTAATAATAATGCAGATGTGGCGAAAGTTGACGCACCAAAGGACGATGATCCGATGGCAAATATTTTTTTCGAATTCATGCTTTAATATCAGTAGGTAAGAACCAGAGTATGATTTGACTCACCTCAATAAGCGATCTGAAAGCGCGGTGAGACAAATGATCGAAAGGTACGAACCAAAGAAAGACAATAGCCCACCAGTGAATATGAAAATCATTCTTACTGACGAAATTCCTGTTACCAACCACCACGAAGGGTGTCATATGACGAGCAAAAAATCATAGAAAAACAAGTCGAACAGTGGCTAGACGAAGGCATAATACGCCCAAGCTGTTCGAGTTACGCCTCACCCGTGGTACTCTTGTCGAAGAAAAATGGCACAAAACGACTTTGCTGTGACTACCGTCAGCTAAATTCGAAAATCATACGGGGTAATTTCCCTATGACCCTAATTGATGACGCGATTGAGAAGCTTAGAGAAGCGAACATATTTACGACTTTGGATTTGGCCAATGGCTTCTTCCATGTACCGGTGGATGAGAATTCCCGAAAATACACAGCGTTTGTTACTCACAGCGGCCAATATGAATTTCAGTATGTGCCTTTTGGTATATGCAATTCACCCGCAGTGTTTTGCCTTTACATTCATGCGATTTTGAAAGATTATATTAGGGATGGGACGGTAGTTGCCTATATGGACGACCTAGTGATTCCAGCGAAGACCGAAGAAGAAGCTCTAGAGAGGGACTGAGGGTTAAATGAGGAAAATGTCAATTCCTCCAAAAAAAGATACAGTTCTTGGGGTACATTATCGAGAACGGTACGATTAGCAAACAAGAAATCATTGCAGAGATTCTTAGGCCTAATGTCCTACTTTCGCCGTTTTATCAGAAATTATGCCTTGGTTGCGAGGCCGTTGTCAGATATGCTGAAGAAAAACGCAGATTTTAGAATGGGTGACAAAGCCTTAGCATTGTTCCAACAGTTAAAAACAGCCCTTATTCAAGCACCAGTTCTCGCGATGTTTAATCCCAAAGCAATGACTGAAATCCACACCGACGCCTCTATGTATGGGTACGGAGCCATTCTTCTTCAAAAAAAACTCCAAAGACCAGCAACTCCATCCGGTCCAATTCATGAGCCGCAAAACATCACCGGCCGAACAGAAGTATCACTCCTATAAGCTGGAGGTACTCGCCATAGTCCAAGCGCTCAAAAAGTGACGCGTATATGTATTAGGGTCAAGATTCAAGTTAATCACTGACTGCAACGCTTTCACGATGACGTTGCAGGAGAAGGACGTACCATTACGGGTGGCACGATGGGCAATGTACCTCCAAGAATATAACTATGTGATCGAACATCGACGTGGAGCGCAGATGAGACACGTGGACGCGCTCAGTAGGGTTCAGTGTATGATCATAGAAGATTCATTGAGACATCGACTTAGAGAGGCACAGTTGAGAGATGCGTGGACAAGGGCAGTCCGTAAGATTTTGGAGACGAACAGCTACGAAGATTTTTATATCTACAACGATATCCCTTCAGCTCGACAGCTGATTGTGGTACCAGCGCAGATGGAGAGATAGATAATCGAGATGGCACATCGTCAAGGACAGTTTTCTGTGAACAAGACTAAAGATTGCATTGAGAAGGATTTCTACATACCTCGCATAGAGTCAA